TGTCGCTAAAGTTTCGTCGGAACGAATTTCCGGAAAATTAACTAACGAACGGAGACGTAACAATATGTTAAAAGTTATTTTAGTTCAACACATTTGTGTAACTTAGGAAATGTACAAAAAATACTCTATCCTATCTTCTTTAATTAAATAAGATTTAAGTAAAATCTTCAGACAATTCATTATTGTAGTAATTAATTTCCTCGTTCCAATGTAAGAACTAAGATTTTTAAAAGTTTTTTTTTATTCTTTCGCAGAACTTAAAGTCATTAAAATGTTTGAAAGCCCTGTTATTATAAAATATCATACATTAAAATAACGCTACCATTCTTACCACTTTCTTTGAATAGTTGAATATTTCGTCCTTTCCATTCTTCTAAAAATGAAATGATCATATTTGGAAGAAAAAAATTGTCTTTTGAAACTCTTTTTTTTTCTTTCAGGGAATTAGTTATGTGTCTTGTTTGTTTGTTTTGTTGAAATTCATGCAGAGCATTCGAGGGCTATCTGCACTAGCTGTCTCTAATGTCAAAGTGAACTAGAAGGGAGACAACTGGTCAACACCACCCATCGCAAACTCTTTAACTATTCTTTATAAACGAATAGTGGGATTGACTGTAACATTATAAGGTCCCATGGCTAAAAGGGCGAACACGTTAAGAGACGTGATTGCAACCATCGATCTGCAGATTGCGAGTCGATTCCCTTACCACCAGGCCATATCTATAACACAGTATATTGGTAAAAAAATTTTAATTCTTATCAAAAAATATTCTAAAGAAAATAAAAACACATTCAACTGTTGTGGCAGATTTATCCTGAGAACTGTCTTTCCTTTTATCGCCTTCCCTGATGAGTCAGCTATACGTTTCCGGACTTACAATACTAATTGTTTGTTTGTTTGAAATTAAGCACAAAGCTACACAATGGGCTATCTGTGCTCTGCCCACCACGGGTATCGAAACCTGGATTCTAGCGTTGTAAGTCCGCAGACATACCGCTGTGCTACTGGGGGGCCTTACAATACTAAACTCCGGGTTTCGATTGCACTAAACAAACAACAACATCAACCAGATATTGCACATTTGATATTTACAGATAGTACATTAGACAGATTAAGTTAAGTAATCTTATTTTGTTAACGAAATAATTTGAATCGCATTACAAAATATACTTCATTCACATTATAATTTTGACTTAATTTACTTTAGAATAATAAACGGGATAATAATTGCAAAATATTTTTAAGTACATGATTATATTCGTTAAAAAGTCAGATTTTTTAAATATTTTATTCAATTTTTTTTTCAGGAATTCAGTACCTTCAAGATTGCCCAAAACAACCCAACATACCAGTGTATCTTCTAGTAGGTGGCGCTTTCGGACTGATCAAGGTAATCTCGATGGGTTGGCGGCAAACAAGAAAGCGCAACTATGAACAGACGATAGAAGCGCTAGCTGACGGAAACGAAGACGAGGTTTTGGCGAACACCTCCTCAAACATAACTGACTACGCTCTAAGTGTTTTTTTATTAGTTTGGTTTATTTTGGGAAACTATTGGGTGCTCGTAATTTACAAGCCTCGCTATGATCCTCTGCTTCATGATCCAAATAATTGGTGTGCGAAAACCGTTTATTTATTTTCCGTTATTCATTTGTATATTTGCTACGGAGTGATGGCGCTGGTGGTCGTTTTACTGTCATTTATAGTTCTGTGTATACGTTCCTGTGGTGTATATGCTCAAAACGTTTGACAGCAAAACGCTTTCGTTACAAGTATACCGATTCAATTGTTTGTATACCTATTAACTTAATGTCAACAACAATGATAAAAATTGTGAACTAAATGTTTGCTTAAGTTGTATCGCACACACACACACATAAACAAAAAAGTATATCTTTGCTATTTTCCGGTATAATTATAAAACCTTTTAAAGATGTTTGGTTACTGTGTACATGTTAAGGATAATAAAAAGCCACAATTGGCTGCGATGAAACCTATGGAATGCTATTTCATTACTCCATACAATGTTCAACAAAGTCTATTTTTAAATCAAATTCTATTTTCTACAATGTTCCAAAAAAAATTGACTAATTAACATATTCATTAGTTATTAAATCAACTGACGCATAGCAATAGACTACTTCTAATGTCCTATAGCCCTATCATCAGTGTATAATACATTTAGAACGTTAACCTAAAGGATATAGGAAATATTTTAAGTGAAAGTAGGGATGATGTGTATAAATTATTTTATATTCTATCCAATAATATTTCGATGTCATCTATAACTATTTTTCAAAGTTAAGCTCCATTATTAACTGTTCAGACTACGTGCTGTGATATCATAAAAATTATAGAGATTGTGAATTAAATGTTTGGTCAAGTTATATCGCACGCACGCGCACACAGAAAGTGTATCTTTATTTATTTATTTTTTGAATATTTATAAAAACTTTTCAAGATTTTTGGTTACTGTGTGTGTGTATATTAAAAGGACAAGAACGAAGGGCTTTAGTAAAAGAGAAGAAAAATCACGTGACAAATAAGACATGGATAAGTAAATTCACAAGGAATGATAATGTCTTAGGAAATACATGTATAAGCTTATACTATAATTTGGGATGAGCAGACAAATTCTAAACAATTGGAAAAATGTATCATTCATTAGCTGGGCTCCTCCGAGTTGCGCAGAAATGAAAGCTAGAACATCTATTTTATTTTTTTTAATTACATAACATAAAATGTTACATAATTACAAACTAACAATTCAAAAGTATTTTAAGCACAAACTTGTTGAAATAGAATTACAATTACTATTTTTACTTAAGTTTTTAAACTTTGATATGCAAGAGTGTAGTCGACTATTAGTCCTGGTAGAGTTAATTTGCAAACTTTTCACTATCTGTCATGGTCTTGTTTCACTACAAAACATTGAAACGTTATATTCTTCAAACTTTTACGATATTAATACTGCGAATATCACAAACTGTCAACCTCTTTCTTGTCTAGAAAACATAAAAACATCATCTTCAGCCAAGCTTTGATGCCATTAAAACTTACGAGCTGGTCTTGATTCTTTGAAAAATTCTGTAAGTGAATATAAAGGATTATTCAAAGAGAATCAGTTAAAGTTTCAGAAAAATGTTAGCTTGTATATTGTATTCGGAAATTGGTAAGCCCTTGACTGCATATCAAGTACTAAGAATACTGCACAGCCTAGACAAAGACAAAATTTCAACGCTTCCAGAAGTCAATACTAAACACGATGACCCCCCAGTGGCACAGCGGCATATCTGCGGACTTACAACGCTAGAAACCGGGTTTCGATACCCGTGGTGGGCAGAGCACAGATAGCTCATTGTGTAGTTTTGTGCTTAAATACACACAAACAAACAAACTAACTAATTAAACATGATGAGATTTATTTAGTTAGTTACGAGAGACGGCTCCATACACAAGGAGATTGGCATAGTGACCAGTAAAATTGGTTCCATAAGGACAAACAACCGTTTACTAGTAAAAACTTCTATTTTGTTCAATAAAGAAAGTTATTAGGTTACAAATTTATTCTTTGTTCTTTAATAATGCTACCCGATGGCTCAGTGATGCACTTGATGGCTTATAACGGTAAAATAATTGGTTTGTTCCCTGTAATGGGCATGACACAGATAGCCTATGGTGCAACCTTGGGCTTAAGAACAGGCAAACAAGACTTCTAATAACTGTTTACGAATCTTGTTAACTAGTTACTTTTTCATTGTTTATTGCTTATATCGGCTACATTCTTAACATTTATCTGTTAATATGTTTACCCTTTGCGTTTACTTTTTTAATATTTTATTTAATAACTAGCTCAATTGCCCGGCGTTGCGCGGTGAAACTTACCATCAAAGAAGAATCTGTCTAAGTGTGTAGACTTTCATTTATATACATTTCAAGTTGAGAATGACAACATTAAAATTAATTTAATTCATCATTTAGGTGCAGATTGTTTTTGTTTAATGTAGGCACATCATGGCAACATGAAACGGTATCCTTATAGAAGCCACGTGCGAACAGTGCCTTCCGTGCTGAAAGAGGCTGTGATATGGTTGTTGTTGTTTGTTATTAAGCACAAAGCTACACAAAGCGCTATCTGTGCTCTGCCCACCATGGGTATCGAAACCCGTTTTCTAGCAGTATACGTCCGCAAACATTCCACTGTGCCACTGGGGGACCTATGACATGGAGAAGCAGAAAGTTGTTACCGAAAGCAAAGTGTCTGGTTCGTATAAGAAAGCACAGCTCCCGAAAGATGCAACACAAATTCGAAACAATATTAAAAACGAAAAAGAGATTAGTCACGACGACCTCTAGAATGTTTATGAGCTCAAATTTGCTTTCAATGAGTCCTGGCGTGGTCTGGTGATTAGGGCGCTCGATTCATAATCTATGGGATGGAAACCCAGCGTTGAACATGCTCGTCCTTTCAGCCGTGGGGCATTAAATGTAACGGTCAATCACACTATTCATTGGTAAAGAGTATCTCAACAGTTGGAAGTGAGTGCTGCCAGCCAGTTATCTTCTCCCTGCGGTCGGCAGTTCAAAATCAAATAGCCTTACTACCTTTGCCATAAACAAAGAAACAAGCTATGATTGGATTTATCCACAACTTCAGTTTGGTATCTGACTTTACAAATGTTTTGGCTCTTCCTGAAATCTTAAACGTTTGCAGAGACATATTGAGAATGCTCCAAGCTCTCTACTGTACAATGACACGACTTGTCAGTTGGTAGACTTTTATGTTTGTCCGGATGTGCATTCTTTGATGAAAATCCAGAAGTCCATGAAACATTCTTTACTGCAATAAATCGTAATAACCCTGAATTGAGTACGAAAAACTGTGCCTTAATTACAGACTAAAAGGGGTGAATTTTAAAGACACTTGAAGCTGTACTCTCACAAACAATTCATGTTATCTTTTGAGAAGAATCTGATGAAGGACTTGGATTTATGGATATCAAACCATGACTGAATAAAAACAGGCCGAACGGGGATTTATTTGAAAGCATTTATGCATAATTAGATAACAAATGGAAACTGGCCTTTGCAGAGTATTTTGAAAAAATATGAAGTATGACATTAAAAAAAAAGGTGAAAAATAGGTTTTAAAAAAAGTTCGAAATTTACATTGCCACGAGTGGTTTCAAAAAGCATGAATGCTGTTCTGAAACAACTTTCCCAGTGGCAGGAGGTCAAAGTGTATAAAACTGTGCTTGAGTTTAATTTTTTGCAAATATTTTATTTAAAGGAAATACTCAGAAGCTGCTGTGGTGTTGGTAGCTTCCATCTGAAAAAAGAACATACCTATGTGAAGCTTGACTCTAGAAAAACCACTTTCCTAGTGACTACATGGTTTTTGATATTTTTTAAATTAAAGGAACGGGATAATGGATATCAAGAAAAGGGCAACAAAGCATGAAAACCCAATTGTAGGTCTAAGACCCTGCAGGGCTTAGGAGAGATGACAGTAAACGAAAACCGTGTATTTCTACAAGCTCATTTGACCAACTTCATCATCAAGGGATTAACAGACAAAAGTAGAATGCAGCACCTTTAATTTTTTGTCTAGCCCTCATCAGAAAGAGGCTGGCACCATCACTTACTTGATCTAGATATGTGCTAAATCGGTAATGGTTATAAGTTTGTTTCACTTTGGCCCTGTGTGTGTGTCACTCTCTGGGAGAAGCCGAGCCCATCTCAAGAGCTACACGGATGCTTGTACAGTTTGATATTGGTTGGAGATATATTACCCTGTATATAATGTATGGAATAGTCAGTGATGTATGTAGCTTTTCATTATGAAATACTGCGCTTGAGCTCTGTTTGATTTCAAAGTGCAGTGTATCATTATTCTTTCTGTTTTTATACTGTGCAGACGTGTTTGAAAAGTCTCTCTCTGCCCAGCACTCTGTTAAAGTCACAATAAAAAGTGAAAAGCAAACCAGTTTGATGATAAATGGAGTTATTCATTGTGAATAAATATATTCTTTTACTTGTTCCATTGTTTTCACTTGTGTTTCCTTTGCTATCTGTACTTAAAATTATGCTCTGCAATACATTTCTGGAATATGCATTCTTGTGAATGCTTTTAACTACCTGGCAAATAAAAGTCTATCTGAATTCTAAGCATTAGTTATAAAACAAAAGTGGCAGACGTATTTGTTATTGGGAGTATGTTTTGAATTTGTTTCTTTTTCTGTTTGACTTTCTGATACCTGTGACATTTGCAAACTGTGTTATCATGGAAGGATACTTTATGAGACTACATTAAAGTTATGTCAGAGAGGAGTAAACTATGGTTGAAGTGAGAACTTAGAACTAGTCTGTAATATTTCAGGATGTCATGGAACATTAACAATAACCCGAAACTGTATTCAATTGAATAAGTCAAAAATACATATCCATATGTGCCTTTGTCAGTACAATGATGTGCATTTCTACACATCATGTCATTCTTCACAAGATTTTGCCCAAGGATGTCACATTCATAAGGATGATGGACACATGGAATATTAGATAAAAATGAAGGCTTCGCACAGAAATGCATAGTCTCTCAGTTGCACAATGGTAAAGAGTCGGATAGTAAATAATGTAAATAATTGACTGTACCACCATTTAATTATGTTGGTGATATGCAAAAGATGATCCCATCAGTGTTCGAAGAGGATGGCAAAGGAGGATTTGGACAGTTTCCTCAATGAATGGACTCGGGGACAGGTGGTGCAACATATTATGTTGAGTCTGGATGATACTACGCCAATACCTTATAACACTAGAACGAGGACCAATTTCATGATTAGAACACATTTTTCAAAGGGTTGTGCCACAGATTCGTCCCCATGGAAAAATAGAGTTATCCATAGGAGCGAATTCAAAGCTTTAGGGCAAGGACACTATGAAGAATGTGGGGATGCAGTTTGAAGTGGACATGATGGCTTATGCAATAGAAAAGAGA